ACGATATCACATTGCTTTCAGCATCCTGTCAGCTTGCAAATGCTTTTCGCACCGAGAGTGAAACGTTCTGGGGCTGTGAAGTCACATGACTTCAGGCACCCATGCTCTGCAAAAGTGGAAATTGCATGAGATCACATGTAGCTAAAACAAAATTGGTAGCCTGTCTAATATATGTGATTTTACAAAAAGTCAGATATGGGTTAAAAATATAAAGTTAAAAAAACCTTTTTACTTTTGGAAGAACTCTTTACAGCCGTTGCCGCCTGTCCCAGCATGGTGATGAGTAGAATTTTAGCTTAGCACAGGGTTGTCAAACTCCCAACCCGCGGGCCGGATGCGTTATACGCTAGCCACACACCCATTTTAAAAAAGTGAAAAAAATCCTGATACATCATGTGACGCCGCCATAACAACATGAGTTTGACACCCTTGGCTTAGTTTATCAGTCTCAAGATCATAGATTAAACTCTGTAGATTGTAAATTGAATAAAAACCTTTGGTATTACTTTGATAGTGTATTTTTACCTGTTCCAGGGTGTAAATTACCGGTTGCGGGGTAGTTTGACAGCTATTAAAACCAGAGCACCACAGTTGGGAGGTAATTATTATTGTATATTATTATTTTCTTCTGTGTTTTAAAAAGAAAAGTGATAACATTTCTTGAGGGACATGATTTTTACTTTTCTTTAATATAGTATATAACTGAAGGGCTACTATAGCTATGCCATTATCTGCCCTGTGCTTTTGACAATGGAAAGAAGGGAACAAAGCCTATTTTCTTTTAAATCAGGAAAAGGTAACACTCATATTACATTTGTCAATATATTTTTTAGTTTAGTGTTTCCTTCCTAGGTGGAGAAGGAATACCACCTCTTTCAAGTGCCCTGTCTATCTAAGCAGGGAAAAAAGAACACTTGATAATTATCTTTCAAGATTTGAGAAACTTTTTTTGCCTGGCTAGAGAGTAGATTTCTCCTCTCCTGTCTAAGTAAAGAAATGAAGTTATTTAGAATCAATACTTTCAACAAGTATCCTTGTATGTATATTGTATATATGTATGTATATATACGTGTGTGTGTGTGTGTGTGTGTGTGTGTGTATGTGTATACACACACATTTGTGAGAAAATATGTCTGTGTTCAATTCCCATCAGAGAACAAAACAGTTATCTTAAAAAGAGGGTAGATTGTTATCATTTAATGTATGAACTGTGAACTAGCCTGGCCTAGAGGTTAAGACCTGGGCCAGGAGTGGTGAGACCAGAGTTATAAACATGTTGTGGGTACAGAAGCCACGTGGGTGGTTTTTGAGCCAATTACTCTCAGCTTTAGAAGGGGAAAGTGGCAAGCAACTGAAACTAAATGGTCTTGTCCATATAATCACCAGGAGTCCAGAATAGCTTGAAAGAAAAAAAAAATCTTATTTATTAAGTGAACTGCTTTGAGAAATTAAGGAGATGCAGATTTTAATCAAATGTTCTTGCCTATTGGAATATCCCTAAGGAGCTTTGGTGGGCATTAATTATACTTTATTTTTATGTTAAATTCTTGAATATTTTATTTGTTTTTTTATAACCATAGATTTTGCTTCTTTTTGAACTTAAAATAAAATTTCTCTAGATTCTTTTGCTAGGATCCAAATTTAAAAATGACCACTAAAACTTGGTTATAAATTTTGAATTATTTTTCATTCAAATAGGTAGCTTCGCTATCTGGGGTGGTCTCTTCTCCATGATCGACTGTAGCCTGGTGAAAGCAAGAGGAAAAGAAGATCCCTGGAATTCTATTTCCAGTGGTGCTTTAACAGGGGCCATTTTAGCTTCAAGAAGTAAGGACTATGTAGAGCTACTACCTATGACAAATTGTGAATGAACATTTTTAAAAAACTTTCTGACAGATAATTAAAATGTATCAATGCATATTCTATTATTCTTAATTTTCTACAACATTCGAATTTCTTGAAAGGATGGAGGGAAGTTGTACCTAAAGTTTTAGAGTGATATATGTGACCTTTGGGTTGCAGGTTGTACACACCTGCTATGAAGAATCTACATTTTAATTGTCAATGTTTTTTAGCCTTACGTTCCCATTTTCACCAAAGCAGAAAGAATGACATATCCTTTTCTTCCTTTCTAGCCCCCTCTGGATTTATTTTATTGCTATTTTTATTCTTTTGTTTCATGATGTTTTGTGTTTTTGTATTGTTCTGTTTTTAAATGTTTAACAATTGTAAAGGGCTGAGAACTGGGTGGTTATACATTGAATGAATTATTATTGTGATTATTATTGTTGTTGTTGTTGACATTTCCAACACAACATGTGATCCAGGGGTGGGCATGGCTTGGTGGTCATGTGACTGGGTGAGGCACCAAAATAACCCAGATGTCTCCTGCTGGAGACGGGGTTCGACAAGATGACCTCTGAAGTCCCTTCCAGCCCTGGATTGCTATGCTGTTTCAAAGCATCCTCTGAAGCTGTGTCTAGTGCCAGGGTTTGTGGTCCTTTCTTCCTCTCCTTTTTCTCTCCCTCCCTCTATCCCTCCCTCCCCTCCCTATCTCATTCACTTTTCCTTCCCTCTTTCTCCCTTCCCTTCCCTTCCCTCACTCCCTCTTTCTTTCTTTCTCCCTTCCTTCCCTTTCCTCCCTCTTTCTTTTATTCTTCTCCCTTCCCTCCCTTTCTTTCTCTCCCTCTTTCTTTCTCTTTTTTTCCTTCCTTCCTTTCTCTTCCTTTCTTCCTTTCTTTCTCCCTGGAGCCTCCTGGCAGCCAAAATGGAGTGTGGGGGAATGGGTGGCGGACACCCCCCATGCACCATTTTGGGCCTAGAAAACTTCCCTGGAGCCTCCAGGAAGCCAAAATGGGGCACGAGGGGGGTCTGGCTCCACTCCCACACCCTGTTTTTGCTCCCAAGAAGCCTCCCTACACTTACCTGGGAGCCAGACGGGCCTCGTGGGAACTTCTGGGAGGGGTGGGGCAGGGTGGGCAGGGCCAGCTGGTTGTCGGAACTATCGGTTCGGTGAACTGAATGTAAAATTAACATCCAGTTCGCCCGAACTGGCTGAATCCTACCCCTGATGTAATCTGATTATTATTATAGAATGATTTTAAAGATTATTCTAAATCCTTTTTCTATTTTTTAAAACCCTTTTATTAGATGGACCAATTGCCATGGTTGGGTCTGCAGCTATGGGAGGAATTCTCCTAGCTTTAATTGAAGGAGCAGGTATTCTGTTAACAAGATTTGCATCTGCTCAATTTCCAAATGGTAAGACAATTGCTTAGTTTCATATGCTGTAAAATCTGATATTTAATTCTCTTACTGAAGAACAATTTTACTTCTTTTAAAAGTTCCATTAAATATTATGGGATTTATTTTCACTGCAATAACTTGGAAGCATTCAAAATAAAACATTTGGTACTTAAAATTATCTGCAAACTTTTAATACGTTCACATAACAGGCTTCAAAATGTTGTGCAATAGTGGTTTCATAGAGTTGTCAGTTATAGCTCTAACATGACAATAGTTTCTTAACTGTTGGTGCCTTCCCAATTGCACATTAGTATGGAACAATCATACCCTAAGAACTCTAACTTTCTCCCTTGACCCTAATAGAAACATATTCAGTGCAGCAATATACTGCAGAGCGATAAACAATTGCTGTTTTTTTTTTTAATTACAGGTCCTCAGCTTTCTGAAGACCCATCTCAGTTACAAGCCTCTCCCTTTGGAGACTATAGGCAGTACCAATGATTTCTTCTGTTTCTGTTGAACTTTAAAAGTTTTACCTTTAAAAGGAGAAGCAAAATGAAGCCTCATTTGAAGACTTTTCATTGGATGTGTACATGTAGATGTTACTGTATTTTTCACAATATTTAAAGGATTATGAATAGGAATTATCACTGTAAAATAAATATAAAATGCCTGCAAACTCCATAGATATTCCTTATCTTAAGGATCAAGCAACATATGGATCTGTGGCCTTTTTTAGTGTAATGCAGATTATGTCCCTGGGGATACAACAAACCATGTAATATGAAAACCTATGGAATGCACTAGCAGAATATGTGCTGGTAACACATCTGCAGTGAGCAGTGTTGTGTTTTCTTCCAGATAATCAGAAAGAGATGCAAAGCATAGAAGAAATACTTAATTTCCTCTTAATATTCTTGTAATGTTAATATAACTCTCCGTAGTGAGAATGAAATATTAAGGGAGATCATAATAGTTCTTTACTGAATATTTAAAAGGATATACTATGTTGACAAAAGTTTCAAGGATTATTTTTGGCAAGAAATCTGTTTTCTTGAGCTTTTTTAATCTTCGGAAAATAAGTCTTATATGCTGTTCATGTATGTAACAGTGGATGAAATGTTTGTGATCAGATGGTGTAATTTGCATGTCTAAAGTTCCTTACCCTATCTGCACAACACCACGATTGTCCCTCCTATCAGTCTTATCTGAAGCTAGTGTGTTTTCCACTTTTGTCTGTTTTAAATGAATTTACTATTTTTTCCAAAGTAATTATACAAAGAATATAAATATGTTACCTGTTTTAGACTAAACATGAGGATGAACTTTAACAAGACAAAATGCTATATGAACTTGTTAACTGGTTTGGAGAAAGAGTTAGGGATGTGCAGCATTTCACATGCCAATGGAAAAACATGTCTTGGAATGCCTGGGGGTGTTCATATAGCAACTGTTGGCAATTTGTTAAAGCAGCCATGTCTTCCTACAATTGCATGGCTGTCCTCCATAATGGTAACATGATGTTGAGAAAAGACTTACTTGGTCTGTAGTTGCTACATGCATACCCAAATGCACACTAAAAGAACTTTATTCCTAGTAATCTGAAGCAAGGGTCCCCAATCTCAGGCCTGCTAGGAACCGGGTCCCACAAGTGGGCAAGCAAGCAGAGTGCACATGTGTGGGATCTAGGTTGCGCATAAAACCCTACCCCACCCCCGGTCTGTGGAAAAATAGTCTTCCATGAAACCAGTCTCTGATAACAGAAAGGTTGGGGACTAGTGATTTAAACCACTGAACAGCCTTATTATAGATCTTATTTATGTGATACTAGTTGCAAAAAATCTGGCAACACAGAACAGGCTTTCTGAAGCTTAAAATTAAATTACTGCCCTCCAATGGCACCTGTGTCTTATTGTTATATTTTAAAATGCGTCTTCTGTAAGAATGTATACATGTATCAACTTTCTGTGCTTTTTGCATTGTCTTGAAGTCAACCATGGCTGGGCTGCACCATTTTAGATAAGCATTTAATTATACAACGCTAAATTATCTTAATAGAGAAGACAGAGTTTAAATGCATTCTCCATGTGAAAAAAATTTGAAATCTTGAGAGTTCCTATCTGTACTCTAAAGTAGTACAGCCCCAGGATTTTTGTCATTTTAAGTAAGAATTGAATTTACTGTCTTGCATGGACAATTACATGTCAATAGCACAATGGGATTCAATAATAACGAAGATTTTTGGATAAACTATTCTAAGAAGATAGCTCCAATAAATTCACAATTATCAAATTATTTGGGTTTTTATGTATGCTCTATCCTTGCAAATTTCTACTTAAATTAGGCCACAATTGAGATACACGATAGGAGAAATTGAACAACCCTGAAGATATTTTTAAGGTATGGTACAATTTTGATATAGTGTGGACAGCTTTTACCAGCAGTACTTTAACGTAGGTTATATTAGAATATATGGCTTATGAATACAAGTAGTCCTTGCTTAGTGCCTTGTACAGTTACAATGGTGATGAAAAAAATAACTGAACAATCCTCGCGTTTAAGAGTTTTACAGGTCTGGAAATGAAAGGAAAGCTAAAGTAAGATCATAAGCAAAACTGCAGTTTAACTTAGCAACCACTTTGTTTAATGGAGTTGCTGGTCCCAATTGTGGTCACTAAACAAGGACTACCTCTATCTTGTTTGCATATATAGGTTTATATTTACATTCATGTAAACAAAATACATGAGTGAAGAAGTATAATGAAGAATATTGCACCTCAAAATCTAAGGAGGTCAATAACATCTATAATTTATTTTTAAAGAACTAATTTCAAGGGAATTAAAATTGTACAAAATACTTGGCATGTAAGGTGATGAGGATTTAATCATGCAGCCAATTAAATAAGCACTTTTGAGAAGATTCAGTGCTGGATTAATATATTGCACCAATCAATAACTTGTTTCAACTGTGTGTTTTTTTAAACTGAGTTTAAACATGCCAAATAAAAACAGAACTAAATATAATTTATCACAAACATAGAAGTCCTCGACTGACGACAGCTGAGCCCAAAGTTTATGTTTCTAAGCAAGACAGTTAAGTGAGTTTTGCCTTATTTTATGACCTTTCTTGTCACAGTTGTTAAGTGAATCACCAGTTAAATTATTAACATGATTGTTAACTTTATCTAGTTTCCCCATTGACTTGGCTTGTCAGAGGATTGCAAAAGATAATCATATGACACTGGTACCCCAAAACTCTCAATAATACATGTCAGATTGCCAAGTGTATTGAATTTTGATCATGTGACTATGGAGATGCTATAATGGTCATAAATGTGAAAATGGTCATAAGTCATTTTTTTTCAGTGCATCATAACTTCAAACAGTCACTAAACAAATGGTTATAAGTTGAGGACTACCTATATGTAATCAGGTGGTGAACTGCTAAGTGGTAAGTTGGGCTTACAAAATTGGCTAACATCAAACAATGCTACAAAACTCTTTTAAGTTTTTGAATGTTCCACTTTTCCTCATGCTTTATGATTTCATGAAACAGGATGAACAAAAAGCTCCCAGAAAAGTCCCTAGAATCAGACCAGATTATATTGCCATGTCTCATTGTCTCATGTTCTATGCAGTACACAAGTTGATCACTTCAGATGCACTTGATCAATGGCCTAAAAAGAAGCTTTTCCTTCTCCCTCCTTTCTAGCTGATTGATTTTTTTCCCTCCCAAATGATGATGATGATTATGCAATCTCTCACTTCTTTCACTCTTAATATGGGGCTGTCAACTCTGATGCTTAGGCCCTGCAAGTGCAATCAGCCACTCTGGCAGTCGCTCTGAGGCAACTTTATGGTTAATCATAGAACCATAGAGTCCTCTAGAACTTGCAGAACTGGCAGGTGTTGGCAGCTGCTCTGAGCCCTAGTTGGAGCATAGAGTCCTCACAGCAACTGCCAGAATGGCTCCTAACATCTCAGGGTTTGAGCAGTGGTGTTAGCAACTACACTATAAACATAATGGTGACAACGACAGTGGTAGGAGGGTAAGGGGGCAAGCAGCAAGAGAGGGAGAATCATGGAAAATCGCAAGACAGACCTCTGAAGGCTATATTTGAATTGTGGGTAACTCCCAACAATGAATTCTCATAACGTGCTGACTCTGTAAGCACCTGATTCTGTAAACTGCTTAGAGGGTTGTAAAACACTATGAAGCGACATATAAGTCTAAGTGCTATAGTGCTATATTCATCCGTGGTTAATCAGGGTTTATAATTCACCCAATTTTTCCATATCATCAGTACACTGAACCACAGTATATCTGCCAACAGTCTTAGTTTGGCTGAAACAGCAATAATGTTTGTTAGAAAATGCCCTAAATGCCTGAAAATGATGCCCTGTTCAGTTCAGGCTGGTGCTGTCACCCCGAATAACTTCTGAGATGTTATGTTATGGTATCAGGAAGAATGAGATGGTGAGTGCTGTCTTTGCACTTCTTCAACCAAACCAATGCAGTGACACTCATCCTTTGTCTCCAGTCCATCTCCTTGATGACTATCACTGTTTGCACCAGAATTTTTGCTAATGAAATTAGGAAGTCCAGAAAAAAGAGAAATGGACAGAACTTGGAATATGGGAGTCAACATAAGAGGTGCTATGTGCCAGAGAGGTAGATAAGGCAAATGGCTTTCCCTAGACAGTGTTTTATTATTCCCAGGCAGAACTTTTGACACAGACAAGTTTTTTTCCCCTATAGTCTGATTAGATGTACAATCCTCGCTAGCATACGAAAAATGGAGCTTGGAAGAGCTGCGTGGCCCTCCTGAGCTCCATTTTCACTGGCAGAGGCAACACAGGCCAGTCTTTTGCTATTTCCAGCAGTCCCCCACGGATTGCAGGAGGCCATCCCATCTAGAGTTTGTGAGGACCATACGTGGCTCCCTGTGCTCTGTTTTCATTGGCAGAGAGTTGTAGGAAGCTGTTGCAGCCAAAAACGAAGCCATGCTCGGGAGCCCGCTTTTGCTGGCAGGGCACTCGGGCCACCACAGGTGTCCCCCAACACAAGTGATGTCAAGATGGCCACATCCAACCTGGTCACACCCACCCCAGCTTTGGTTAAACACAAACCTGATGTGGCCCTCAATGAAATCAAGTTTGACACTCCTGACATAGATGATTTTTTCAAATAGCAATAAATATAACTTACCGTATATACTTATCCTGCTTATCAAACAAATACCTAGTTACAAATGAGTCAGAAATGTTGCTATTATGATCCCATAACAGTTCTATCTACCTCCCCATCCCCAATTAACACCGAATATATTTGCTCTTTCATATTTGAATATTTACATATCTAAACAGAACATATCACCTAGGTCTTAAGATGTACTGTACTATGACAATTTGTTAGCATTTTTTTCTCACCTGCCTTATTTCCATTTAGTTTTTTAAAAAAATAATTTTAAAATGAGAAAGCAAACACCAACTTCAAGCACACCTGCATTTCCAACAATTTCTCTGGGTACCACATGGGCTCCAGAGGCGTCAATAGGTAGTTTGCTACAACCTAATGCTTTGTTTGCTTTTGGTCTGTGGCTTTTTTGTAATTGACCACAGCCATCATGACTACCATTTTGTGACAGTGCCCATAACCTGCTTTCAAAATTTCAGATGAATCTCTGCATCAAAAAGGTTGGAGAACCTTAACATTCCCTATAAGAGGATGTTATAACAGGCCTATATCTGGTTTTTTTCTCCCTAATCATGACATTTTCTATTTTTCAATCATTACATTTCCTTCTACCTATGTCCATCAATAATTTTATATTTAAAGCTTTTGGTTCCTTTTAAAAAAGAATTAGTCTTTTTATACAAGTTTCCACTTCCAAGTACTTAGATTTACCATTGTTCTATTTAACTGCAACATAATTCAAGCCAATCATAAACTTCATATTCTTACTTCATACTGTTTTCACCCAGAAAATGAGCAAATAGTCTGCAAAACTGTTTTCCAGGATATTCCATTGTATATATAGTATACAAAAGTGTCTGCTTGCTGCATTCAGTAAAGTGGTTAACTTAATTATAATTTTAGTAAATGTTACAATTAAAGAATACAAACTAAAGAAATAAAGTAAAAAAGAGAAAGTGCAGGAAAGGAAAGAAAGTAGGAAGAAGGAAAGAAAAAATATTTAAGGAACTGATTTCTCAGTTATATGCGGTAAAACAATTTTTGTAACTTATACCTTCTCTTAAAATGCAACAAAAAATTTCTTCTTTCTGTAGCTTATCATATGTTATCTACAAACTCTTAAAGTCCTGGTGAACAAAAGCCCATTAAGGCAGGGGTGTCAAACTCGTGTTGTCAGACAGTATCATGTAACATATCGGGACTTTTTCCCCCTTCGCTAAACTGGGCGGGGTCGTGGTCAGTGCGTGACGCATCTGGTCTGCAGGCCATGAGTTTGACAGCCGTGCATTAAGGGTTGCTAGAGATAACAACATACCTATTTTAACTTTGATCAAATAAACTATTTCACTTTAAATAATCTTGATCCTTAACCCCCTCAAATAATGTCTTAGAATTTGATTTATTTTCATTTATTTTCTTTGTTTCTTCTCACAAAACTCTTCAAAACTTTAACAAGTCTCCTTTGTAAATTCAGTTTAGAAAAATTATCTAGGTCAGTCTTTTGGTTTGTTATTTGAGTAGCCTTTTAATTTTTAAGATTTTATCTGGTTTCATTTGTATATCAAGTGTAGCATCTTTTTTATATAATTCTTATAGTCTGCCATTTTTAGATCACTTTTAGATCAATCTTAGCCCTGTGTGGTAAAACTTGTTCTTCTTCCATAACAACTTTTAAAAACAGCTATATCTATAATGGCAAACACTCTTAAAATTAACTTCTGGATCACAAATATCCATCAATACATGCAGTGTAGAAGTATTTTGCTCCATTCTGTATTAGTAAGTCAAATTTAAATGTTCTTTTCCTTCTTCAGTTCCTTTTGGTTCCCCCTCATGTCCAATCTTCAAAGTCCCATCCTAACATGTTTTTTTTTTAAAGAATTCAAAACAACAGCATTTTCCTATGGCCAGAATTCTTATAATGAATCTGAAAATCTTATTTCAAATACATTTGGATTCTTGGTTTCTTTTTAATTTTCCAAAATCAATGCTCTAATCATCCTTTTGCTGTTTATTAAAACTATTTTTAAACTTGTATTTAAAGCTTCCTTTGGTAAGGATTGAAGGAAACTCACCTAATGTCCAATAACATTTGTAATTCCAATGGTTTCGAATAGCAATAGAAATAGCACTTAGATTTATAAGTGCTTCACAGTGCTTTACAGCCCTCTCTAAGAATTTACAGTGTTAGCATATTGTCCCCAATAATTTGGGTGCTCAGTTTATCGACCTCATAAGGATGGAAGGCGGATTCATCCTTGAGCTGGTGAGAATTGAACTGCTGGCAACCGGCAGTCAGCAGAAGTAGCCTGCAGTACTGCATTCAAACCACTGAGCCAACACTGCTAAATAACCCTAACAGCTGAAAAGCAGTTAATAAGCAATTTTTTAAAAAAAAATAGAAAAGGAAATATGTGAACCTGGGGTCATTTTGAAGTCACCAAATGTAGTGAAGATTGTTTTCCTTTGTCTCCCAGAGCTTCAAACAGATATAAAGCTCTGTTTTGTGGTCTCCTTGCAAGATGCAACTGTCTGGAGCACTTATGGGTAATTTCAAATCCTCTCCTTGTCCAGAGAGGAATTACAAAGAGATTTTAACAGAGCCAGAAGTCCCCAGTAAATAAGTTAACTTTTCATGTAGCTCTAATATGCTTTTAGAACTGATCTTTATATATCTGTGCCATTATTTACAAGATTTGAAGCATACAATAAGCTTCTAAATTGCCCTTGCCATACAATCATTAGGAACCTTTGTAATTTTGAAATGTCTAAAGATATTAGATGTATAGATTGCCAAAATTTCAGGTAACATATTCAGTTTTCAGAATAGTTAAATACCACCTAATTCAGATAAATGTTAGCCAATTTTAAACAACCAAGACAATTTTAAACAATCAGAATAGATGTTCAGTTAAGAATACAGGTTCATTCTGGGCAATTTATGAGCAAGGTAATACTCATATTACCAGTATATATCTGGTTTAAGATAGAGCTAAGACAAACCCATATTGATCTCTCTCCTTTCTCTCCAGAGACCGTTACTTATTTCTGCTGAAATTCAAACAACTCAACTAAAATGGATACTGTACTTTGCATGAAATACCTGATGTTTTTCTTCTGTGTTCTGGTGTTTGTAAGTATTATAGGACTGTGCTTAAAATAAATCCCCCTTCAAACTTGGCTCATTACCTAAATGAGAACTGCTTAAGCCTCGTGCATTATCTCAGGTGGATGGTCAGTTATCTAATTTGCTAAAATCTGAAATGCTTCCTTATTGTGCAACATTCCTCAACACTGTGTATACAGTGGGGGGGCGGGACAGGTATGCTTATAAATTTTAAATTCTTATAATCAAATAATGAAATTCAGGAAAATTCTGATAGACTGTACTTCAACATAAGCAGTGCCCACTGGATTAGATTCCAGCCTATTTGATCCAGCAATTTGTTGTCATAGATGCCAACCAACTAAAGAAGGAAGCACCACTAATTTCCAAGCAAATAGTCTTCAGAAACAGTCACACTGCCATCAGTGCTAATACACACAGATTCCCATGACTCCCATGAATTTGTCCAACCCAGTTTTTAAGGCTATTCAAACTGGTAGCCAACATCATTCTTGTGGCAGCAAATTCCAAAATTTAATTACACGTTGTGTAAAAAAAAATTTTTTGCCTGATTCTTCCAAGATTCCGTTTCATAGGCTTATGTCTAGTTCTAGTATTTTAAGAGGGGAAAATAGCTTATTCTTGTCCACTTTATCCACACATATAATTTTATATGCTCAATCATACCCCCTTTTTAGCATTAAGTTGCATCATTTTACATTTGCTCACATTGAATGGTGTCTGCCATTTGTTCTTTTTTGTCATTTTATTTTCTGTTTTATGTGTAATTTTATATGTCTAGGAAAGCCCTAAGTAAATTCTCAGATTTTTTAAATTCTCAATCTGTGTTCTGTAAATCAGCATTGGTCGGCAGAAATTCACCTGGTGGTCTACCACAAACTCTATGAATTCACCAGCAATCTGCAGGGAGTTTGCATGGGACTAGCTAGCCTCTTTGACTAAAGAAAAACAGTAACCTGCTATACAATAGGTAATTTCTGGGGGGTTTTTCTGAAGGAAAATAGCTAGGTATGTTGAAAAACTGTCTACCTGGAGTGGGATCTACAGTTAATATTCTTCCAATACTGCCTTGTCCCACTGATCCTTGAAGCTTTAAATTGCCAAAAGATTTTCCACAGAATGCTGATATGTGAGACTTGTAATGTCTATTAAAGGTGTGCTTTGGTATCCAGATGGCAGCCTCATAGACCTCTTGTTAATCTTGACCAAAATTAGTATCTAACCACCCTTGCCTTATGAGTCAGTCTTCCCCTTGGAACTGGATTTCTACGGGAATACTATTTTCTCATCAGAAAATCTGTTAGCTAAGTTAAACACTACTAGAATTTTTAAAGAGTATTAAAGAGGACTTTTACATTGAATGGTTATTCTGTATTTTTTCAGATTGGGTCACTCTGCCTTATTATTGTGGCTATCTGGGCAATCATTGACCCTAAAAGAATTCTGGATATCCATCCAAACTATTTCTTAAATATAGCAGCTTCTATCCTCCTCCTTATGGGTCTACTGGTCTCATGGCTGAGCTATTTGGGCATATATGCAACAGTTGCTGAAGATATAAAGCTGTTGAAGAATGTAAGTGAAAGGATTCCACTGGTATAAAGACTCAACATTACAAACATGCATTACAAGAGATTTCTAAGTTTGGAATTCATATCATGGCTTTGAAACATTATGTGCAATGGCTAAGAATAATGCAGTCTGGTAGTTGTGAGAGCTGTGATTTAGTCCTGCATAATTCTGCTAGATGCAGCATAAATTATTACAAGAAAATGAAATTTAGGAATAAAGCATATTGTCATTAATAGAGACTTCCTGATTAGGTTGATACATGACATCCAGTTCTAACATTTTGTATGGAAGCATTAGCATGAGATCCTCCCATGCTATGTAGCATATTGGACAGCACAGTATCTCCAGCAGTTTTGGTCTTGAGCAAGTCCTTCAGTTTCTCCCCGTGTGATGCTTAGAGTCCTTAAATCTTCCATGAATGTTCTTCAACAAGCATTTTGAGGCATCCTCCTGGTCATTTGGCATTGTGGGTGGGAGGGTCCATCTCATTGCCATCTTGGGGACTTGATTGTTCTCCATGTGGAGAATATGACCTGCAAGTTGGAGTCTTTTGTGTATGTATAGAAGAGATGGGCCTAATTCTGCATGTTATTTTCACTTTACAGCTCGTCAAACTGGTCCTGGTGATCTCCATTGTGAAGCTTCTGATCATTCTACTCCTTTATTTCTTTGCAGCAAAGGTAATAATGAGTCAGGGATTAGACTACTTATCTGAAATTTCTTATTCTTGTTGCTTCCTTTGCTATCCTAAAGCCTCCAAAACAGTTCTTCTAATGCTTTTAGAACTCTCTTCATACAAACATAAGCCTTTTCCGTGTAGACATATCTTTGAATCAATAGAATCACACTTACTAGGGGAAATAGATTGCTTATTGGATTTGTCATACACTGGCCTTGTGGATGAATCTTGAGGGGGGGGGAAATGCCCCTTCATTGGATTTCTAATGTATAACTGGTAAAAGAATACTTAGAAAATATGATTGCTGACATAAAACTTCACATGCCTACCATGTCTAGCATAACCACTTGAGGCTTTGTACTTGGTAATAAGATAAATTCTACACTTTTTTCAGATCCGTGACAGATACCTTGTAAATCAGCTGGCCCAGAAGTATGAGGGAGACGATGGCACTAATGTATACTCTAAAGCTTTAAATGGCTTCATGATCATGGTAATCAAGAGCAATGATTTTATCTTAAGGTCATGAGAGTTTGTCAGTCACGCATATTAAGAGTATTTGCAAAATGGTATATAACCACAATATGTAAAATGAGTATACCACTTAAATATTATACAAAAGTCTTGTATCCAATGCATTCTGTTCTCTCAAAAGCCTTAAAATAGCATTGAAAGAGAAATTAATATAAATGTTATGATTCAATTTGAACTCTTCATGACATTAAATTTCTTTTATATCTATATCAGAAAATGGACAAGTATTGGCCATTTCCTTAATCAGATAAATTGAAAATTTGCATACTATTTTGAAAGAGATGTAATCAAACTGATGCATGTTATCATTTAGTTGAACATTTTTGAGGAAACTGGAAAGATTGTACAAGAGTTTTTAATATTTAATAAAACTGTAGCTTTAAATCTATTTTTCCAAGGACATACAAATGGGAACAAAACAAGTTAAATCTTTTTTGTTGTTAGGTGTAACATAACAAAATAATGAAAAACTAAAGTCTTTCTTTGGATACATGGTACTTGATACTATTGTATATAATGGCTTAAAAATTAACATAGCACAAAGTAATCTTAAAGAATCCTTTGATTCTTAAAACAGAAGATTTTATTTATTTATTTATTTATTTGATTTGTCAATCGCTTACAAGATAATAGGTATAAGTATATACATAGTTATGAATACATGAAATGGGTACATATAAGAAAAATAAAAGAAACAATAGGACAGGGATGGTAGGCACGTTGGTGCGCTTATGCACACCCCCTACAGACCTTTTAGGAAAGGGGTGAGGTCAATAGTAGACAGTCTAAGGTTAAAGTTTTGGGGGTTCGGGGAAGAAACCACAGAGTCAGGTAGAGTATTCCAGACATTGACCACTCTGTTGCTGAAGTCGTATTTCTTGTAAGCAAGTTTGGTGCAGTTAACTTTGAGCTTGTATCGATTGTGTGCTCTTGTGTTGTTATGGTTGAAGCTGAACTATTCATTGACAGGTAAGTCATTGCAATGTATGATTTTATATACCATACTTAGATCAGACCAAAAATGGTGTAATTCAAGGTTTTCTAGGTCTAGAATTTCAAGTCTGGTGGCATAAGGTATTCTACAATGAGTAGAGGAGTGGAGAACTCTTCTTGTAAAATATTTCTGGACTTTCTCAACTGTGCTAATATCAGATATGTAATGTGGGTTCCAGACTGATGAGCTGTGTTCGAGTATTGGTCTAGCAAATGTTTTGTATGCTCTAGTTATTAGTGTAATATTACCAGAGAAAAAGCTACGTAGGATTAGGTTAACAACTCTTAATGCCTTTTTGGCTATGTAGTTACAGTGGGCTCTAGCAATTAGAGGTGAGTATTCCAAGGTCCTTTACAGAGCTTGGATCATCAACAAGGTCTTGACTATTCACCTTGTATTTTTTTTCTGTTTTTTTTTGCCAATATGTAAGACAAAGCATTTATTTGTTGAGATTTGAAGTTGCCGCTTGTTTGACCATTCTGATACATTGTCAAGATCTTTTTGAAGGGTAGCAGTATTGTCTGTGGTATTGAACAGCTTTACATCATCAGCGAAGATAATGCAGTTGCTCTTAATATGATCACAGAGGTCATTTATGTAGAGTATGAAGAGAGTTGGTCCTAGGACATTGCCTTGGGGGACACTACTATTGGCAGGTACAGAATTTGAAAGGACACTCCCAATTTTGACCATTTGTTGTCTGTTTGACAGGAATGCTTCTATCCAGTTATGCAGTTGTCCAGAGGTACCATAAGATTTTAGTTTTAGGAGTAGTTTGTTGTGTACCACTGAATCAAAGGCTTTACAGAAGTCTATGTAGATTGAATCTATTGTTTTGCCCTGATCATGTTATGTAGTCCATATGTTTTTGCAGTGTAAGAGTTGCAGATTACAGGATAGTTTTTTTCTGAAACCAAATTGTTTATTAGAGAGTAGGTTGTTTGTCTCTAAGTGGAGGATAATGTATTGGTTAATAATTGATTCCATGACTTTACAGGTGACGCAGCATAAAGAGATTGGTCTGTAATTTTCAACTAGGCTGGGATCTCCCTTTTTGAAGATGGGGATGACTGTGGCTTGTTACCATAGGTTAGGCAAGGACCTGGTCCTGAAAGATTTTCCAAAGATTATGCTTAGAGGTTCGGCTATGGCAGTGGATAGCTTTTTTAAGAAGTAGACACATATTCCATCCGGTCCAATAGATAGAGATGGTTTTAGATTGCGTAGTGCTTTTTCAACATTGTCTTCTGTAAAATCAATATGTATTAGATCATTGTAGTTTTCTGTGATTCGGCTAAGAAATATTGGGCATGATCCATTGCTGTTTACAAATACTGAGCCAAAGAATGTGTTAAAGATGTTGGCTTTAATGGTATCGTCGTTGCACTCTTTACCTTTAGGTTCTATGGGGTGGGATGGACCTTGAGTCTTTTAGTTTGTTGTTTACAAAATTGTAAAAAACGCAGATGGAATTGGTGCGTAGAAGGTTTTCCTCTTGTTTAATGTGATAATTGGTGCATTCAGTCTTTATCTGGTGGCATAAATTTTTGTGTCTGCTTTTGAAGTTGGCAACGTGACCAGATTTGTTTTTCCACCAGAGTGATCTCTTTTTGGATTGAAGTTTCCTTATTGTTATGGGTAATCTGTTTTTTGTTTTTTTGGGGGGTGTTGTTATTGATACATATAGTTTGATGACTCTTTTGACTTCAAGTAAAAATATGTTGTAATGGTCTTCAACAGTATTGCATCCAGTGAATAGAGATTGCCAATCAAGGGATGAGAGATCGTTGTCTATAAGATCATAGTTGCCTTTTTTGAAGTAATAATTGGGGATTACGTCATTGTGATGATTTTTGTGTGGGCGTATGTTGAGACAAAAGTCAATCATATTATGGTCACTGTTGGAAAAGGGTTCTTTAGTTTGTATTCCATAAATTAAATTCAAACTATTGCAGAAGATGAGATCGAGGCAGTTGTTAAGTCTAGTATTGTTGGTTACTAGTTATTCCAGTCCCAGATTTGTAACAACATTGTAGAAGGTTGCATGCATGGGTTCAGTTGTACATTCGTTTAGGGTCCAGTTAATTTTTTTTTTTACATTTAGTCTCTATTTTTTGTTTAATTTTGTTTAATTTTTTTTTACATTTAGTCTCTATTTTTAAGTTATATCAGCAAAAACTTGTAACAGATCACCTCTATTTATAGAAATATATTTTGTATAGAAATACTTAATATATTTGAAAACATTGCTCTTTTTAAAATTACATGTCTGTGTATTCCAGTAGGCAAATTAGAGACTTTGAGGCCTAGGCTGGGAGAGTGGTTCCAACAGATCCCAGGAACAGTTAAGATAATATGCAGAAGGCTTAAACTCCTCTGGTAGGGGAACAGAGATTGAGCAGGATACATACCACCCATAGGGTGTCTGTGTGTATGTATGTGTGTGTCAGTGCTGGGATTCAATTTTTTTTATTACCAGTTCTGTGGGCATGGTTTGGTGAGCGTGGCAGGGGAAGGATACTGTAAATTCTCCGTAGAACTGCTGCGAGCATCCAGAGAGTGGGAGGTGCTCC